GACTGCGACCGGGGTGTACCCACCAAATCACATCGTAACGCGCGTCCAGATGTTAGATCCCTCCACCCCGTGAGTCAAAGTGCATGGGCACTGCGCAGAGCGCACATCCCAACAGTAGTGGCGTAGAAAAAATACACCAGGCCACCGTCATCGCCAAGACCAAACTGTCACAAAAAAAAAAAGCCGATGACGCACACCTGATAAAAAGGTGACGCAAACCCAGTTTTTCGCCAAAAATAGTGCGAATAGGTCCTTGCCTCCGTGGACTTTCGAGTGAGGAGCGTCAACATGACATTAACCACGAAAACGGCCAGCAAAAAACTTCCAAATGCAACAGTCTACAGAGTAGCACCTAGAGCAACGGTTTGCCCTGGCACGCGCCAAATTCGACGTAGAAAAAAAAAATGAGAGGGATTCATGTACGCTGGAAAAACAAGCGGTACGGCGACCGCAACAAACCGTCCGAATACGAGGGCTTCTCCCCCAATTGAAAATATGGACTCGGGTGAAGCCTTGGACGGTGCGCCTTCAGTTCCACATGCTGCAGGCCACGCCGATACAGGACTTCAGAGAGGTGATTCTTCGTCTGCAACAAAGCAACCGACGCAGCAGCGCCCAACAACCCCCACACTAGAGAATACAGCATGACAAGCGCCGCTTTTTTGGGCAGCACCGCAAAGCGCAGAAAGCCGGGCAGGACACACGCACGTGCAAGATTGTCTCCACCCTGCTCTGCCTGGCCTCTCTCTTCTCCGCCTCCAGCTCCTGTCGCCGGAGCTCTTTCAGTGCGTCGCTCGCCCTTTGGTCGGCCTTCTCCCTCGCCTTCAATTCACGCTCCCGCTCCGCCTAGTCGGTTAGTCGGTGCGCCGTGCGCGAACAGACCGGGAAAGATGTTTGCTGCTCGCGTCGCACGGTGTTTGTAACACCATAATAGTGCTCGAACTCTACCCGGCACCCCCGCACAGTTCCGTGTCGATCCAGACGGTAGGGCCAAATCCGCAAACAATGAGGTGTACCACGGGACACAACGAATAGCCCAACAGCCAACGATGTATTACAGACTTAGCCGTCCGCACGACACGACTCACAAGCAGCGGCAAAACAAAGTGTGCGGTTTGACTAACGTATGCGAGGGAAAAGATGGGACATCGCCTGCCCACACGGTTGGCATTCAGCGTAAATCGCTACTCTCATCACTTGTTCTACTTTTTTGCTGTGGATGAACGCTTCCCTAAAGTTTGGGGCTCTCTCAGGCCCACTCTTTCGGACGGTATTGCTTCGCGAAGGGCCCGCGGTCTGCTTGAATAAACAGCACGATCTTGTGAAAGGGTTCGTTTGAAACTACTACTTCGTAATACAGCTGTCGTCCCCTTTGGCAATTGAAGGAGGATGAAAATCCCAGCAGACCTGGTCTTAGAAGGCTAAAACAAGAGATCAAGCAACAACCGTGAGTACCAGAAGCTGGGAGCAACGGACTTGCTCCCTTCCATTTATATTTCTTTGTTCCTCCGTAACACCGACCTCTATCTCAAGCGTGCCCTTCTTGTGGGCCGCCTGCCTGGCCAAGAGGTCCCGCCGCAACGCCGTGTCGCCCTTGGCGTGAGCGCTTCGCCGCTCCCGATCGTCCTTCATCTGCAACACACAAGAGTACACGAGGCGCAAGGAAATAAACAACACTGGTTCGCATGAAAGAAAAATAGCTGAGGTAGAGGAAAGAAGAACAGCATCGGAAAAAAACTTGGGCACTAGCTAGTTGCAAAGAGCAGCCGTGAACGTCATTGAGAACAATCGATGCCGTAAGAAAAATAGAACTTCATCCACAGAAGGCAAAATGGTTGATGGTCAAAGAACAAGGGAACTGGTGTGCAACTGTATTTAGTGACGGTACTGATGACGATGACTTCAAAAGGCTACAGTCACGGCATCCTTTGCGTAGGCAAACACACACGCGGTTGGATATCCTGAAAGCGGGAACACGGAAGAGCAATGTTAGAATGCCCTTCCTTTGCCATCATTCTTGGAGTGACCCATTACCAAACACTCTTCCACGGCTCAGTTGAATCACAAGGTACGCGACGACGCCGTAAGGTTCATCTCCAAATGCTTGCCTGTTGTCGATACGTTACCCTACAGTGTATCAGGCGTTCGTGTCTCTCTCTGATATCCGTCTGCATGTTCTCTCCACAGACATCCTTCATACACTACACCAGTTCACGTTCGTATGCCTCTCGCGCAAATCAGTCCACCAGCAAGCAAGGAAGAATGCGGAGAGCTCATCTCTCACTAACCTGCTGGTGCAGGTCGCGGCCCGTCTCCAGCTCCGCCTTAGCCGTTTCCTCTTGCTGTGGACGCGTTCGGTGCATACGAATGAAAACCTAGGTCAAATCCATTGCCATATTTGCAAGAGCTGGTGTATCTACAATGCTGTCTTTCGCCGTGTCATCTACGCCTGGCACCACAGCTGTTCGGTGTGTGTTTTTCCTTCGGGCACACCAAGCGGGGCCACACAGAGAAGATTCTTCTTCGGCATACTTGGCTTCGTGTTTCTCCCTTCGACGTAAAGCTTGGCGGAACGTGGTGAAGAACACACGATGGAGCCGCATTGGGGTTGTCAGTTTTTTTGAAACCGTACTGCCGCTCTATGCGGTTCCACTAAAGGCACCCCAGCACTGAACACCCGCAAGTATTAGTGACCGTTCATCACACTCGGCGTTCCGGCACAAATACACATAGAACACGGCGCAAGGCGTTATTAAAAGAGATGCTTTTGCGGTCTTTTTTCCCGTCCTCACCGTACAAGCTGCAACTGCGCAAATCCCTTCCTCTAACTTCAAGTTGTTTGGTTTGGTTCTGCGAAATGCCATCCCCTCTTTGAAACGCTCTTTTTTTGTGAGGAGCCTCGCGTAGCCTTGAAGTGCAGCCTCCCCCCCCGCAGCAGGCGGAGCCCCCATGCGTAGTTTTTGTGAAATTCGTGTCTCCTCGAAAGAACGTACCGAAGGGCACTGGGCAAAGGTCAGACTGGATTTTGTTACGTCTGTGAAGACTCAACAACAGCGACAACAACAACGACCTGTTGAATTCGGTGTACGCTACCACAGATGGGATTTCACACACGCCTCTTTCCATCTAGACCGGAAAAGCTCGTATGAAGCACCTGGTATGTACATAGAAAGGGTGCAATTGCCATCTGAATAACGTAGCCATAGATTGAGGAGGGAGGGGCGCGATGTGAGAAAGGGGGAAAAAGCACATGTGGCTAGATTTAGGATAACCGATGGTGCCAAACACCCTCCCGACCTATTCTCCAACATCGACTGATACAGCTCCACTGCTAGGAGAGGTAAACAATGCACACGAATCGACACGGGCGGCCATGAAAAACAAACCATCTGCCATTTGGCCCTTGGCAATGATGCGTGGTTAAGTTCTTGGCAACCCCTCAGCCCTCAGCTGCTGCGTGTAGACGCCATGACGACGTCCGGAATCGGATCTTCAGGGGGGTTGTGGTACTCGTTTTCGCCCCATGCAGTTGTGGTCAAGAGGTATGCATGTATGCATGTAGAAGAATGTAATGTAGCAACTACTGACGCGCGAGATGCTCTTCGGCTGTGTTCGCCACATGGAGCTGTCGTTTTGTGCGTGTTGTCTACGAGAAAAGATGCTGAACGTACGCTGGAGCAGAGAGCAAAAGAGGATGGCGGTCGCCGCAAATGTACTTCGGATTTACCACTGCTCTGTAAATGTAAGACGCCAATCTCCTAAGAATAGAAAAACGATGACGATACTCGTTCTCTTGGGCGTGCCATGTACAGACCTCCGAGGCATGCTAAATAGACAATAGACCTCACGCCCTGGGGTCTCGGTTAAAGCTGTGGAACTTCCGGGCTCCAACGGTCCCCCTCGTGCACGACACAAAACACATGACACCGAGGGGCAGGGCAACTTGGGTGTCTAGGAACAGTTTTCGGCGCAGTTCAGTCGAGTTTCAACCTCATCGCGATACAGATAAAGAGACGACTCGGGTCCTTTGGTAAGTAATCGAGCGAGCTGGAGCAACTGAGCAAAGCGAGGCTGACGGGAAAAAAAACATGCGTAGTAAAACATCGGCTGCTGTATGGTCTGATATGCTGCGTATGTCATGTCGAGCACGACGGGTTGGCAGCGTTTGGGTCCAACCTGGTATATCGACGATCCATGAGGCGAGGAACGATAGTTTGTTTAAAGGGTTGCTGCCGTGTAGACAATTTTCAGGGATTCAAAACTCTGCCGGCCGACTTCGTCCAATTTTTTGTACGTTGGATGAAACGACGGTGTGGCGGCACGACGCGTGAAGCTGCCAATACGGGACGTCATTCGCGTAACGCGGCTATGCTAAGAGCTCACATCACGTCAGTGGTCTTCCCCCTGGTGCCACCAACCCACTTATGCATACACATCCTCTGCATGACACTACTTTGTAACTACCTACTCTGTACAATCAACACTCAAAAACGATCAACTGCCATGATGATTTGACAATCACCAACCTGTCTCCTCCGAATCGAAGCACAATTCGCAGCACCCCGCGCGCGGATCTTGGAGGGCGTGTCCTCGGGTAGATCGACGCCCATCGGCGTCACCGGCCTCAGCGGTGTGAGCCCCTGTCTCGCGGGCGTAGCGCAGCGGGTAGGCGTACACATCGCAGACATCTTGGTTGTTTATCTTTATCTTATTAACCGCACCTCCCTCCGCGCGACGTACACGGGTAGATAGACCTCCCAGCGTGGCGGGCGTTGGCAAGGCTTTAGTGCTCCTTCGCGCTCGATGAGACAACTCACAAGGTCCAATCGTGTTGGGTGGCGTGCTACCTGGTGCTGATGTCTGGTGTGTGCTCGATCTCTTGGTGGTCTTCTGCGCGGGACTGCGCGAGGGGAGAGCGGGGGGGAGAGGGGGGCCCACGGATGGCCGAAAACCTTCGTCCGTCACGCATCCTTTCCGGCGGGGGGACAGCCATCAGCCACTCAAAGCCGCAGCCTTGCAACCGCGACCAGCAGCGTTAATCGACGTTGGAGTGGTGCGTGCTACACCTCGCATCATCTACAGAGTCATCTGACCAAGGTGATTCCCCGCTCCCCAACTCGCGCAGCCCCTTTTTTTATTTTTGTGCGTTTGCTTGCCTGACATCCAGCCAATGTATTTAAATTTGGCACCGCGCCGGTCCTGATGCTTCGTGTTTGCCGAGACACAGCAGTAGCAGACAGAGGATTGATTGTGTGGGGAGGCAAGTGACAACTGTCAACGATTGCAAGAGTCGGGAGGTTGCGGTGCCCCAGCTGGTGTCGGCAGCTTGTGAATCCCTCCCGAGGTTGGTTCTGCGTTGTTTTGTCCGAAAAAGAAGCGCCTCCGTAGCTCCGTAGTCAAGACACACGAACATAACTTCCGTTTCAACACACCCTTGGGATGACACTGCTGCAGCACACGGCGGCAGGCAAGCGGCCAAACCTAGCGCACCTAGCCAGCTCAGCTGTTGGGAACTGCCCGACCGTAGGCACGCACTCTGAAATATGGCCGCTTTTGTCGAACGGTTTGTGTCAACACGGACTTGCGTGTCTTAGAATGAGAGTCTTTTTCAGTACCGACTCTATGGTGGACGTCACCGCAGCCAGCAGAGAACTCTTTGTTCGTTTTTCGACACTCATCCACCTCGCAGCTTGGAGTACGTATGAAGTCGCTTCGCCCGCCGCACAGCCCTCTCATGCGGGCGCGCCTACCGTTCCCTTCGGTTGATGTACAGCAGTCGATCGATCCAACGTTTCCGTAGCCAACAAATGTATTTGCAAATCGGGAACTCAGGGGGCGGACGACGGACTGTCTTCTTAGCTTGCTGACGTTTTCGCAAAAAAAAAAAAGTACATCCAGGCTGCTCCTCTGTTGTGTACCTAGCACTACTGCTGAAGGGAATGTTGTCCGCGGATAGAGAAGTCTCCCGTGTGACCATCCCGGGCCAGAGTTTTTTAGCCATGGAGGCAAAGCAGTGTAGTACTCTGTAGTTCCACAATGAAGAATAATGGTTTCGAAACTTTTTTTCACTCTATTTGCGTTCAAACCATGACACATGCCCTCGCTCGGTACGGCAGCTAAGTGTAGAAGTAAAATCCTATTCCATCTCGATCCACGAAACGCACCGGAGAAGGTGCTACTTATTGAAATTGGAACTTTCAAGAGTCTTAAGGTTGGATCCACATACATAAGAAATGATCTTTGGCTTCGATGTATGAAGCATACGGAAAGCCAAAAACCTAAAAACCCTTTATACAGCGTTGTGCCTATTTTCCTGCTGTTATCCCTCCTGGGCGGTGCTCTTCACGGAAAGTAATAACCAACCTTATGCATATGGAAACTGGGGCGTAGGGGATGCTTTGCCTGAGATCGTAGCTCTGGTTTGTGTGGTTTCAGTGTGCGCGCTATCGCTCGCCCCCCCTGCTGGTGGTCGTGTGGGATCTCTTTGGACGCCGAAAGGGAGGCCAATCCCGCGGAACCCCCCCCCCCCCCCCCCCCCCCCCCCCCCCCCCCCCCCCCCCCCCCCCCCCCCCCCCCCCCCCCCCCCNCCGTGGGCGCCAGCTAGCCAATTGAGACGAGCAGGATACGTCTTGACGCGATCTCCGGCGTGTTTCCTCTCCTGCCTCCTGTTGCGTTGATGAACACACCCATGGCAAGAAGCTACAATTCGCTCTAGTGCGACCTCATTAAAGAATGGTTGTGACTTGCACGCGCGTTATCGACCGACCACTGCCGCTGTGTTTGTTGTCTTGCCGTTCCCCTGCCGTCGCTCGACTTTCGCTCCGGCTTCACGGGGACACGTAGACAGGAAAATACTTAGCAGCAAGCAGCCAGAGAGACGGGAGAGAGAGAGAGACGGGAGAGCGCAGCACGCTCGTGGATCAACCACCTCTCGAATCTTTTATTTGTGACAATAGATAACAGAAACAACCATGGCCGGAAAAGAGCCGAGTCCAAAGGTGTCCAAGCGAAAGGGGGGAGCCAAGGCCAGGAAGGCCGCGAAAGCGGCGGAAGCGGCGCTAGCGGCGGGGGTGGAGGGGATCACTCTCAAGGAGAAGGGGGGGGCGGGGGTGGATGGGGACGACGGGCCCCAGGCGCGTAACGCCTCCGGCATTCTCGCCAGCGAAGCGCGGGCGCGGGATATCAAGATCCAGTCGTTCTCGCTCAGCTTCCATTCCAAGATCCTGGTGGAGGACTCGACGATCGAAATGAACTACGGCCGAAGGTTTGTGCGTGTGTCCGATGCGTTCGAGGTCTAGGTTTTGAAGGTTGTGTGTGTTTGTGTATGTCGAGAGGTCTGGCTTCAGGTTGTCTCGATCAGTTTTTTTTGCGTCCATATTCATACTGCTGTTTCATTTGGGTCGTGAGCATCGCATTGTGTCTGATCTGCGGCGTTATTCGTTGATTGAGGGAGCACCCCGCTCCTTTCGGGGGCCGTAGTGCGCAGCGATCCAGAGCGCGTGACTTTTTGTGCTTGACACCGCCGCCGTATTTGGCATGACCGTGGCATCTGCCACCTGTTTGGGTCTCTTGTGAAATGTCGTATCGGCGTGTTTCTTGAGCGCACACTTGCTTGTGCAAGCCGCGTACAGCAGTGCGGCGGTGGAAATGGTTAGCGCAGCTCATTACGCTCATGCGTCAAGTTGATGTGGGCGCGAAGATTCCCTGACCAGGTATAGCTGCTGCTGTTGGCGTGCGTGCAAATGTCTTACTTTGCCCTGGTACATCAAGGAAACGCCCACGTGTAGTCAACAAGTTCACACCCGGTCGCCCCGGTGGTCTAGTGGTATCCTCGTAATCCGCTAGTCGCAGAGGTCGTGAGTTCGAATCCCGATGGGGTGAAAAATTTACGAAATGTGCGGGTGAAAGCGAAACATAGGTGACAACAAGCTCTCGTGAGTACCAAACTTCGACGTTACATGTAGCACCGTTGACGAGGGAAAGGGGCGGCTGGACCCTTCTCGCGATAAAAATAAAATTCAGCACGCACCGCAGGAGGAAGGTGGGGCATGAAAAGAAATAAAAAGAAGAAAAAAGCCCTGGTGTTTACCCCCTCCTCTGTGACCCTGGATGGTTGTAGTTGTACGAAAAAATACACTGAAAAGTGTAGTACTCTACATACGCTGAAAGTGTAGTACACGTCTCATCACGAAAAATGGCTGCGGCTGCCAAGAATTCAACCCTGCATGCCGTGTTTACGTTGTACCTTTTGTTGTTCCAAGAGAGAATCAATCACGCATGTTCATTTTCTCAGGTGTGTTGCTCTGATATTCCATGGATTTTCGACGAAACAATTCCCTCGACTTGCTCGTTTGGTTTTCTCCCACGGTTTTTCATCGGCATGTTTTTTAATTGTGGTATGTTGCCTTGTCGTCTTGTCTTTTCTCGCGACATTTCATTTTTTTGTTTTTTGCATTTTTGGCCGACGGGGTTTCGAACCGACGCGGCTTCTCTTCTTGTTCTTTGCGTTCACATCCGACTGGTTATCACACCAAATGATTTTTCCTTCCTGCTCCGTTTTTCGCGTTTCATCCGACGGGTTGTGACACGGACATAACTTTTTCTTTCTAAAATTTTTTTTTTCACACTTTTTTTTTCCGTTTCACGCAGATATGGCCTCATCGGGCAGAACGGTTGCGGGAAGTCAACGTTTTTGCAGTGCCTGGCAGCGAGGGAGGTGCCCATCCCCGAGCACATGGACATCTACCTCCTTGCCGAGGAGGCACCCCCGACAGAGCTGTCGGCGCTCAACGTGAGAACTGAGGATGCTGAGAATCTAGAGGGAAATATGTTGTTCTGTCACTCGCGGTAAATAAATATGTTGTTCTCCCACTCACTGTAAAGACTTGGCTGCCGTGGTAATATCTCGAATGAGTGTACTTGTATTTGTTTTGGTGATTGGATGTGTATTTTCTAACGAGAGCTGTCGGCGCTCAACGTGAAAACTGGGGATGCTGAGGATTGACAAGAGACAAGAAAGGAAAGGAACGAAGATGGTGTGGTGTGGATGAGTTTTTTTTGTTTCTCGTCCTTGCGGAAGCGGAAACCGTCGTTGTGCATGGTCGGTTGCCCTTGGCGTTCGCGGCATGAGTGGGGAACCTTACTTGACGGGTCTCACTATAATGCTGTAGCATTCTTTGCGAGAGCGAGGACATTTGAGTTGCACGTCTCTGTTGCGTCGTTCCTGACGCAAGCGGGAACCTGACATTTCGTAGGAGCGTTTCCCCGCTGCATGCTTTTTGCCAAGTGGAAGTGCCTTGACTTTTCCTGGCGAGCGTTCCTGCTTGGGCATGTTGTCTCACACGTTATCCTTCTCTCCCCGACCCTTCCTCTCTCTCTCTCTCTCTCTCTCTCTCTCTCTCTCTCTCTCATCCACACACAAATCTGTCCCCGCCTCCCCCTCTCTCGATCTCGCTCTTGCCTCCTCCCCTTGCCCGTGCGTGCGCGAAAAAAAAACAAAGTGGGTCCTCGACGCGGCGCACGCGGAGATCGCTCGATTGGAGGCTCTCGCGGAAGCGATCATCGAGAAGGAAGGGGCGGAGTCGGAGACGGTGCTCGACGTTTACGAATCGCTCGACGCGTTGGATCCCTCCACGTTCGAGAGCAGAGCGTCCAGGATCCTCATTGGTCTAGGGTGAGCTTTTTTTTTGGTTATCGTAACTGTTGTGCACGAATCCGCCGCCTCGCAAGCGCGCTTTTTTTTCCCGTACATTATACATTATCGCGTTTCGTTGTTTTTTTTTCTTTTTTCTTGACGATTCCGTCCGAATTCTATGTTTTATGTTTATGTGTTCTTTCCGGTTTTTCCCCGAGTCGTTCAGTGCTGAACGAACGCAGCAATGCGTCTCAGGAATCGGCAATAGTGTCCGTTCAGTGGTGTTTGTGATTTTTTGGGGTGGGGGTGGAACGTGCCCTTTCTGTAAGCATCTACACGTAGTACGGGTGTCCCTTTAACGGTGCTGTCTTCTATGGCGTAGAACGGCCACACGTAGATTCGTCTGCTGGCAACAGTCTCCAACAACCCTCCGACATACATGCAGACAAAGACTTTATGCACCGGCTCGCTATGTAGCCAGAGAGAGGGAAAGGGTTGGGGAGCAGGGGATACGCACGCAAACCTAGACCTGGTAGGCGGGTGGTTGGGGGGGAGGGCGGCGACGAAATATCTGTTACCATTGTTGCCATAAGTGTGATTGAGCACGAGCACGACCGCCTTGTTGGCGTTATTCGCGTCTGGCAGACCTAGATACATGGCAAGTTGTCGCTGGTTTTATACTGCTTATTGACGTGTCATTTATGTCGGTGGCTGTGGTTTGGTCGAGTTAGGCCCATCTTCATTCGCGCCGTGCCTCATTTTATGCTCCTTCGGCGCTCGCGTCCGTCGGTGTGGCCCGATTGCGCTTCTCTCGTGTCCTTGTTGTCGGTTGTTGCTCTCGTTTCATACTTGGTCCGCTTCTGTCGTCATGGATTTGTTCGGCCCCTTGTTGTTTGAGCAGGTTCGATGCCAAGACTATCCACAAAAAGACGGAGGACATGAGCGGAGGATGGCGCATGCGCGGTAAGCAAGCCTGACGGTTCGATAAGTATGTGTGCTTCGTCAATATTTCGGTGGTGTCTCTTCGTGCCGCATCGATCGGGCTAACCGACGAAGCAATCAAAGGCGTTCAGAGTCTGTCGATTGGAGATGTGTGTTGAAGTGTGCTGCGTTGGTGGCGATATGTGGCCTGCAGACGAGCGTGCAAACTCTCAGTCGCCTGGAGCAAAACAGTTCGGTCGAGCGTCCTGTTTTTGTTTGGCTACTTCGTGTAGTATGCTTGTATTGCGGACTCGTTACCTCGTGTAGTACGCTTTTATTCGTTCAACGTGAAAGGATTTCCAAACACACGCAACATCCCCCACCCTCGCCACCCCATCCCTCTTTTCTTCGCGTGCTGTTGTTCTGCCTTGCCTTGACCTCAAACCGAACTCTTGCCCTTTCTCTCTGGAACGCCCCAACTCGAAAAAAAAAAAAAGTGGCGCTGAGCCGCGCGCTGTTCATCCAGCCGACAATGCTGCTGCTGGACGAGCCGACGAACCACCTTGACCTCGAGGCGTGCGTGTGGCTGGAGGAGTACCTCTCAAGTTACTCCAAGATCCTGGTGGTTGTGTCTCACTCTCAGGTACGCCGCCGTTGCTGCTCTTGCTGTAGGTGGTTTTGATCATGTGTTTGTAGTTGTTGTTGTTGTTGTTGTTGTTGTTGTTGTTGTTGTTGTTGTTGTTGTTGTTGCTGTTGCTGTTGCTGTTGTTGATGATGTTGCTGTTGCGGCTGTTGCTTGCTGCTATTGTCGTGATGGTTGTTTTCTGTGGTGTTTTATGATTCTACTTCCGTAGTAACTTGGTATTTTTTTGCGAGTGAGTGCTTCATAAGTTGGTGTTGCTTCTTGCCTCGCGAAAAACGGTGTAGCACGTTCACGCAGTGCTTCCCCAATGACGAGTTCCATTATCAACAACCTGAAGGTCATTTTCCTCTCCTTATCATGCTCGTGGAAGGCACATAACGATGATGTTGCCCGTTGTTTTGTATTTGCAGGATTTCCTCAACGGGGTGTGCACCAACATCATCGTGATGCAGCAGAGGCAGATGAAGTACTGGGGGGGCAACTACGACACCTACCAGAGGACGAGGGAGGAACAGGACGTTAACCAGGTGCGTCAGTTGTTGCTGCTGGCGGTGTTTTAGCGGTATCGCTGTTGTGCGGATGCTGTTTTAGTGGCGTTTCAGGTGATGTGCCTGGGGCCAATCGGATAGTTGCTTCCCGCACGGCAACCCATCGTCTTATGTCCGTTTCCGTCCATCCCCCCCCACTGCCCTTTCCGTGGGCTCTCTCGTTATCCCGGCTTCATCATCCTCGCTATCCTACCTCCTCCTTCCTCACTTGCCTCGCCTTAGTCATCCTCCGCTACTTTACCTTCATCTCCCTCACTGCCTCACCTTAATCGTCCTCCGCTTCCCACCTACAATATCCTCGTTGGCCTACCTCGGTCTCCTTCGCTTGGCTGCCGCAGGTGAAGCTGTACAAGAAGCAGCAGGCCGAGATCCAGCACACGAAGCAGTTCATCGCTTCTTGCGGTACCTTCTCGAACCTGGTCCGGCAGGCCAAGTCGCGTCAGAAGCAGGTACAGTGCTGTTTACTGCATCGATGTAACCTATCATGGTATCTATGATGCGCCCACAGGGTGAAAGTTAGGACTGTTGGCACAATCGCCGAACCTACCTTCTCCGGAACAAACGAGCTGGCTTCGCGCGGGGAGGACGCAAGCTGCAGGTGTCGTGGGGGAGGGAGCAAGTCATCGCTTTCGCTGGAGTCATCCAGGCATTTGACCACACACGCCACCCTTTGAGCTGCATGGCTGGGGACTGATCTTCACACCCTTCGCACGGTTGCGAATGCTGTGTTCGCATCCCTGTCAAGGGTGTGCAGGTCACCCCTCGGCAAGGAATCGCAACGACTGTGTGTGTGCGTGGTCAGGGCCCTGGGTAGCTCTAGCAAAAGCGATGGCTCGCTCCCTCCCCCAGTGGCACCGTATTGTTGCCCTCGAAAGAGAGAAACCCTCACCCAACTTTTCCGTATCAGGCCCATGCCTGAAACCGACATCACGTTAGTTGACCTCTCTCCCTTGTCATGTCCGTTGACGTGTCTTGTACTTATTTTTTTGTCCGAAACAGTTGGACAAGATGGAAGAGGCCGGTCTGCTGACCATGCCTTACAGCGAGCCAATGTTCCAGTTCAAGTTCCCAGAGTGAGTCATGATAAGATCGACAGGGTACGGCGACCCTTTACGATGTTGAGTGTTGTCAATAATTACCGTGAGGGCTGGTGCTGTTGCTTATTGCCCACCTCGACGTTGTTTACGTTGGCATCGCGTCGGCAAATGTTGCTTTTTTTTGTTTTTAACCGTGCCGTTGGAAAAGCGTTGTTGTTGCGGATGTTATTGTTGTTTGCTGTTCTGTAGATGATGTAAGCGGACTAAAGCTGGGAAGCCAGCTCCGTTGTTTCCACGGCGCGGCAGCATTGACAGCCAGTGTCCCATCGGCCGGTCAATCTGGTGGTGTTGGCCCTCCTCTTATTCGGTTGACGGGGCTCCCATCCGGGGTTGGGCAGCCACACATAACACCCTCCATTCACTGCACATGTTCACTTTGCGGAAAATCGGCTCGGCAGTTCATCCATATGCTGCCGTTCTCTGCCTCTCACACACTATATTGCTTTTTCGCACTCTCTTCTCTCTCTCTTTTTGCACATGATTGACCAGGTGCGGAAAGCTGCAGCCCCCGGTCATCAGCTTCAATGACGTGGCGTTCTCTTACTCCGGTGAGAGGAGGGGACAGAGGAAGGGAGTCTGACAGACCACACATTGGATTATCGGGTGTAAATTTGACAGCAGCTGTTGTTCGTGGATGTCATGCTCTCGTGCTCGTTGGACATTTATTGGTTTGGTCGAGACATTTTGGTAATTATGAGAGGATTCTTTCCCTCGTGCTATTTCTGGTGGAAAGAACGCTGAAGGTCTTGTGTATGTACTCGGTGACCCCGTGGAAAAGTTTATTGCGCCAGATGTCGGAGCCTTATTTGCTGCAGTATGGACCAACTTTGGTAGATTTTTCGAATCCTTTCATTTCTTGTTTGGCTTTCTCCAGTTTTTTTTTTTGTCTCCCCCCTGTTGGCTACTATAGGGTCTCGCAAAACGAAGCTTGCTGAAGAATCAAAGCACCAAACCGACTACAATGGTTGAGTCTGATCGGAAACACCCCACGTACGGGAGGGGCACATCAACAGCTGTTTTCACTATTACCTAATTTCGGAACTGTGCATCCGCAAAGGTCGGGATCGACTTGCCCTTGTTGTTGCACTTTCCTTCTTTGGTGGGCTTGTCGGTTGACAGCAGTTAATGTTTGTTGCTGCACAGCTTACAGCTTACCCCCCCCCTCCCCTCCTTGTTTTTTTTCGTGCTGGGCACAGGCAAGAAGGAGGACTACCTGTTCTCGGGTCTCCACTTCGGTATCGATTCTGACTCGCGTATCGCACTCGTCGGTCCCAACGGAGCGGGAAAGTCCACGCTTCTCAAGGTGTGTGCGGGTGTGTGTATGACTTGAACAATGGGCGTAGACTGGTCTATTGTAAAGCACGAGGCGATCAGTTTCTAAGCCTTCCGGTGTGTGCTCAGCTCTCCAGTTTTTTTAAGTCTTGGTGACAGGTACAGCGTCCCCACCCTTGTCTTCTGAGCTTACCAGTTTCGAGTAATAACGAAAGTTTCAGCAATGCCCCCACCCCAGTATTCTTAGCTCACCAATCTTGAAGTCAAACGGACAGTTACAGTAGCCCCCTTTTCCAATCCTTTGTCCTCTCAGCTCATGGTGGGGCAGTTGCAGCCGGTGGAGGGCAACGTGTCGCGCCGATCGGGGCTTAGCATCGGGCGATACCACCAGCACTCAGCCGAGGTGCTGGACCTCGCCAAGTCTCCGGTCGACTACTTGAAGGTTGGTGTTGGTGTGTCTTTTTTTTTATGATAAAGGTCACGTGTGTGATGAATGGGCGGCAAACAAGAATGGTTGATTGATGGTGTGCCTGTTTTTTTCGATGATGTCACACCTGTGTGTGATGCGTCGGCGGCACTCAAGTATCAAGGGGTGGTTTCCCTCGTAGAATTGCAGCCAGCGGCCAAGGTTAAGGTCCGCCTCTTGTGCAAACCCTACGTTCAAACTCATTTTTTTTTTTGAACACATGTTTTAATTTTTCTGTTCCGTTTTCTTTACAGGACAAGTTCTGCGACAAGTTCCCGGACCTGAAGTTCGAGCAATGGAGGAGCAAGGTCGGCTCGTTCGGCGTAACCGGCGACGCACAGCTCAACCCCATCGAGAACCTCAGGTGTGTGAAACTTTAACTAGCATTCAGCTTCAGGAAAAACGCCAACTGCTGTACTGCTGTTGCAAACTTTGTTTCCCTTATGAAGCCCTATCACACACCCTAGCCCTGCTTTCAAGGCTCGATTGCTACTCCACGGCAGTTACGAGTGACAGTGCCGACAACATCGCGGCGTTGGTATCTACCGCTTCGTCGAGAGTTTTGCGAATTTGTATAGTTTGAGTTGTACATCCTCTTGGTCGTGGAGTGATTGACTTTTGCTCTGAAAATCGGTCCAGGGCGTGACTACTTTTGCTGTGAAAATCGGTCCAGAGAGTATACTATGTTTCGCCTTCCTTACGTACTGCTGTGGCTGGGTTGTGGCGAGGGTAAAAAGCTCCGGTCCAGCACCCCTCCTTCCACCATCGGCGCCGAACCCTGTTCATCGCTCTCGGACGACCAACCAGGGAGAGCGGCGGTAGACTCGAGGACCAATCAGCAACCTTGCCTCTGGTGGGAGGTCCAGCTGTAGTGGCGTCTCGGCTGGTTCGGGCCGCCGTTCCCCCGCACCGTCCTCTTCAGGTCCTCCGTTGCCGTCTGCACCGTCTTCTTTGGGTCCCCGTGCACCGTCTTCGCCGGCTGGGGGAGACCGCTCACAGCCCCGTCAGCCATGCACCAAATGGCACAACAGCGGTGCCTTAGGCACCCTGTGATGGAATCATCGCCAGATGGGGGTGGACACCTGTTTTTGTCGCCGGGTTTAATTGTTGATAATCCTACGTGAGGTTGGCTCTATTCGCGCCCGGAGCACAAACACATGTCTTCGGCTTGAAGAGTCCCCTCCTTTCTCGGTATAGGTAACGGCGTCCAGGAGGAGCGGACTCTTCAACCAACCAAACGTGCTTGTAGTTCGGGGTGCGTTAGGCCCGCGACGTTGGAATCCTCCATGGGCTGTACATGCGACCGGAGCACCCAAAAATATTCTCAGGGTTGAAGAGACCGCTCCGTCTGGACGCCGTGTATTACTAAGCCACTGAACTCCGTAAATTACTAAGCCACGGCGTGGAGAAGGCGCGGACTTTTCAAGGCGAAGGATATGCTTGTCCTCGGGCCGCGTTGAGCGCGGAACGTTGAAATCCTCCGTGATGCCCCCCGATGCGCCCGGAGCGCAAACATTTTGTTACCTTTAAAGATTTCGATCCTTCACGACTCCGTGCATGTCTAAGCCACGGCGTGGAAAAGGACCGGATTTTTCAGAACGAAGAACATGCTCGTCTCCGGGCGCATTGGGCCCGGCACGTTGGAACGATACAACGTTTCAAACCCCGCAACTCACACGTCCACCTACACCTGGCGCTGATTCCGCCGCCGGTTGCCTTAAGACGCCACTGGGAATGTCGGTCTGTTCGGATGCGGCATGACCACGAAGAAGGGGGCGACTGGCTGACTGACTTAACAGGTCGAAGCGGTCGGGAAGGCGGAACGACAACAAGGGGGTACACGAGGAGAGTGGCGTTCTACTCCGCGTACCCCCCATCATTGTGTCACTTTCCGTACCCCTTCGCCTCAAGAAGTCCGTGGCAGGCGAAATGCCCTCCACTCGAAAGCACACCTGTAATTTGTGCGTCGACCCCCAGACGCCACCGGCTTCGTAGCGGCTGCGGCTGCACATCACCGCCGCATAGCTGGCCGGGCGGCAACTCCTCCGAAAAGAACCCCGCGCCTTCTGACGTCGCGAAGCTGGGAAGGCAGGACCGCTCGGTATCGCAAGAGGAAGGACGGCGTTGCGCGGCCTACTGAGATGGAGACCAGTCCTGCCTTCCCAGTGTCGCGATCATCGCAGAGCGAGTAGGCTTGCTCACCCGGGAGAGATGTTCTGGTGCCGATGACCACCTCAAATGCCTACGGAATTGGTGACGCTGGGCATGCACGACCGGTCGGCATCGCACGTGGCCGCGCAAAGAACAACTTTGCGCCGCCTGTTGCGATAGTACGCGGTGCTGCCATCCAAGCGTTGCGACCTCCGTAGGGGAAGCAACGAGCCGATGTTGTCGAGGAAATGACCACCTTCATGCCTTCGGAGGTCACGCGGCACTGGGTGTGCACGACCGCTCGGCATCGCACGAGGTCTTTGCTTCCTCATCGTGTGATGCCGATTGTTGGTGCACGTCCGGTGTAACGACCTCCTCCGTAGGCTTGCAGCACGGGCCCCTGGCGCGAGAACATGTCCGTCTCCCGGGTGGGTCTTGTCGGCGACATCGGCGGTAGGACGTCTTGTTCACAGAAGACGGCGATGGTGGTACCGTCTGCTGCTGTATGGACAAAATGTTGGGGGTTGGTGCTTTCCCGTAACGACTTCAAGTGCACGTTGGCAGATAAGAACTGCCGTGTGCAGCAAGCCCGTGTTGGGCGAGATGTTGGGACAGCAGTCTACCGCAGGTTTTTCTATGTAAACATGCTGGATCAAGTATAGAATCGGCAAGGTTAGGGTTCGGGGATGGTGGTATTCGGCCTTGCACGGTCGAGAGAGAAATTACCCCCAAGCAATAGCTTGTAGCTGTGGTCGAGCACGAGGGAGACAGTCCTGGTCGGCGTTCGCCGAGGATGATGCGGCCGCCATGCTAGATTTGCACGATCGTAGATAGCACGGCAGATGTTCGCCATGGTCCGACGATACGACGAGGCATGGCTTTCGTGTCGGTCGGGAGCGCGCTGTTTTGCGCCATTGTTTTGCGGGGTGAGGTTCTTGCCTCGTTATCTGGAGGTTTGTTTGGGCTACACGATTAGAATCAATGTGCGAACAGGAGGCACAACATATGTTCGTCCCTTCAAAAGGTGGAGCAACCCGCTGTTCATGTCCCACTTTTGCTCGATTTCTGCCTTTTTTTCCCCTCTTGTGAGGCTGCCTATCGTCAAATTTGACAGTCTTCATCTTGTTGCTGCTTCCGACAACGATGGCCGCAAACGCCCCCCCCAACCCCAACCCCAACTTACTTCAACGTCACACCCTTGTCGCGACGTTTTCTGTTCCTCTCTTCGTGTACAGTGACGGCTTGCGAACGCGTCTGGTTTTCGCCGAGATCGCGTTGATGAGGCCGCACATCCTGCTGCTCGACGAGCCCACCAACCACGCGTCGATGGAGATGATCGACTCTATGGCACGCGCCATCAAGCAGTTCCAGGGAGGTGTCATCGTCATCAGTCACGACTTCCGCCTGTTGCAGCAGGTGCCCCCCCCCCCCCCCCCCCCCCCCCCCCCCCCCCCCCCCCCCCCCCCCCCCCCCCCCCCCCCC